CAGCATGATACTTCTGAAAGTAAGTATCTGAACTTGGAATAGATACGATACATTTGGATATCGGTTTTCGGTACATTTTAAAGCTTATTCATTGACCTTCGAAAATGAACATGTTTTTCTTTCCTCTTTATTTGGCCTAAACACATCGCAACAATCACCTATATCATATTGTCGCTAGATTGAGAATGGAATTCTTGATGTTCTTGATCATGCACTTCCTCCATATGGAGTCTAATTTTCGATACGGCTTTAAAACAATTTCGACCACCAATCCTTGCCGCTGCAATAATGGCCTGAAGGAAGAGAGCACCCTTATGAGATAGTCTTCTGGGAATCCTATAGGTATCCTTTAGGATCCTGAAGGAATCTTACAAGATCCCATAGGCATCCTGCAGAGTTCTGCAGGTAGCCTATAGGTTCCCTGTTCAATCCTATAAGATCGTATAGTATACCTATGGGATCCAATAAGATTTTTACCTGTACAGGGTGTATGATAAGTAACCCTCTATTTTGAAATGCTTGTAGCTCTTTTAATTTTTAACGAAATTTAATTAAACAAACAGTGAATTATGCACCAGTTAGTGAGGTATTCGGTTTCGTTTGTGTTTTGCTTCAGGTTATAGAATGGGTAAGAGCTTAACAGTTAACAAAGGGCCAAAATAGCTGCTGTTACGAGGTTTGAGGATCAATAATTTAAGTTCAGCGATGGTGGAGGGTTCAAAATGGGCCTCTCTGCCTCACTGGGTGCTAAGGAAATAAATAAATGTCATCCGAGGTTAGTGACAACCGGTTCAGTAACAGACAAGATCAAATCACGACGACCGTCAGCCTTGCACACACCCGAAAAGATTGAAAAACTGGACGCAATGTTTACAAGAACTCTGGTGAATCAGTTCGTCCAGGCACTCCTTCTTACTGAACTGAATGAAATCTTAATGAACTTGAAGAAAGACTCAACCATTCACTTCATAACTTACCTCCACACATGTTACGATCAGCCGTGGGAAACGTACCTGTTCGCTTAATGAAATGTATTGACAATGCAGGAGTATACCTGGAAGTGGGAAGATTAGACACATAAAAACCTCACTAACTAGTGCATAATTCACAGTTTCTTTCATTAAATTTCGTTTAAAAACAAAAGAGTTACAAGCATTTCAAAATGGGGAGTTACTTATCATACACCCTGTATACATTTCTATAGGACTTTTCGTTAAGGTATTGCATGCTTCGAAAATCCTATATATCCTATGTACATTAGCATCGAGATGCCTCCCCTCCCTTCCGAGGCGGGGCCCTCCAAGCGGAAAGCCTTATGGGGATTTTTTAAAATGCTATGCAGGTTCTGTGTTGGATTCTGGTGGCGACGGCGACCCTGATCGCCTCGGGCGCGGCGGAGGCCTCCCACCCCCTCTTCGGCTACCACCGCCACGGGGTGCCCGGGCTGACCAGCTTCCGCAACTTCGCGCGGCTCCGTCACATCTCGAACCACGGTCGTCGCCGCAACAAGGGGATCATACCCTGAGAAGCCGCTTGCCTGCCTGGGGATCCAGCCGATTGCCTTTCATGCAAGCTGCCTTCACTTCCGCCCAGTGGAACTGGATTGGTGTATGCGCTCCATTCGGCAATAAAGGAGCTTTCCTCGTGCCCTCTTGTAGGAAGTTCTGTGGATTTATTTCCTATTTTATTTAGCAATTCTATTGCTTCAGTTTACTTGTTCATATTTGTAGTATATATGTATGTAGACATTTTTACATTTCATTTTGTCCACTGAAATGAAAAATAAAGAAATGTCTAATGAAAAGAAGTTAGTCTGAGGTTAAATCAAATATTTCTATCTGCACCAGTGTCCTTTAGATGACTCGCAAAAGCCTCATGTTGAAACATAAAAATTTCGCATACAATATTGGTCACATGCTTTTTGACTTGGCGAAAGGCTTCTGCCCTTTTGGCAAAGACATCGCGAATGCGCGATAAGAGGTCGACCCTAAGACTTTTCGCCGACCTCACGAGCTAAACCTGGTAGCACATCGGATCAAACGTCGAATTCCCGTTGCATACTTTTTTTTTCCGGCTTCGGTTTCGGGTGATTTTCTCTTTCATCAGCGGGAACGATCGAAGCTCGTCTCGGACCATCCGGCTACCGGATCCGGCTCTGTTCCTCCGCGCAACCGGATTTTTCTCCCATTGCAAAAGCCGGCCACAGAAAAACGGTGACTACGAGTGTCAGTGCAAATCGGTCTGTCCTGCTTTTTCATTTTTTTCGTCCGTCAATTTAATATCTACCAATATGTGAAAGCATAATTACGAACGAATTCGCGAGACTGATTGTAAAATGAAGTGGAGAGGATGGCAAATGGCAAGCAATTATAAGCAAATGGCTTATAGAGAGAGGGATATAATGGCCCAGAGGCCGGCTTGGGACAACCAAGAAAGTCCTTCATCTCCGATTTTCTCGGAGACGGAAGACGAGGAGCATTCAGCTCTCTGATCGTCTCGACTGGCGATTCTGATGCAGGAAAGAGTCCTGTGACGCAAAATTCCTGAGGATGAATTATCTTCTGCGAGACGGTTCCGCCATTGCGTGACGCACAGGGCATGCACGGCCGCTGTTTCTTCCCATTCTTCCGAGTCGAACTTCAATGTTATCGCGCGAGAAAGACCATTTTTTTACATTTAAAAAGGTCGAAGAAATACAGAGGAGAACACACAGAGTCAGCGTGCATCTGTTTCTTCGATAAGAAACCCACGAAGTGGCATGAATGCTAGAGGGAGCGGCAGAGCAACCTAGGCAACCTAGGCAACCTACCGGAGCGAGAGCTCGGAAGGCAGTGGCGTGACCTGTGCGGGCCGTCTGGTTTTGCAAAATGGATCATTTCATGGCGCATGCGTGTTGCGTAAGTGCGCTCTGCTGAATGTGACTGACTGACTCTCGCCAGGATGGAACGGTACCCCAAAATAAGTATATTGGCGATTCCGTACCGCATAGGATTGATGGAATTTGAAGGCGCATGACGAGATGGCATTGGTGCTAGAGAAAATGCGTTCGTGAAGTCTTCGCTGAGTTGAAAAAAATGGGATTTTACAGTTCTGTCTACGGCAGCAAAACTTTCCGGACGCTGGAAACAAGGGAATGACAAGTCAATTGCCTTCAGTCTTTCCTGCATCTCAGAGCCAATTGCACGCAATTAACGAAGAAAAATTTTTGCTTCTGAAGAACGCGGGTGGAGACACCACATTTAGCTCATTCGACACTTACGACCGTGCATGCGCAATTCATAAATCTTTTATTTATTTCCTCCATGTGTGGTCGTTTTGAGAGACAAATTCAAGTTTCAAGTTTAGCTCCTTCGCTTTCGGATTCGAGTTGAACAAAACATTAAAATTCACCCTCACCAAGTGTGAAGATTCGACGTGACGATAACGACCGGCCATGGAGCATCCCTGAGAAGAAATCCTATAAAATACCTCTCCGACGCAATTTCCCCCCCCCGCCCCGCCCCGCCCCCCCCCCCCCCCCCCCCCGACCCGGGGGGGGCNTCCGACGCAAATTCCCCCCCCCCCCCCCCCCCCCCCCCCCCCCCCCCCCCCCCCGGAACCGGGGAGGAGCGAGGCGAGGAGGTGCGCAGTTCACATGGCCTTCGCAGGTTCGAAATTTGTGCACGGTTGTTACGGTTGAAACTTACTCAATTTATTTCTACTTCAATGGGATGAAATATCCGACATAATTTCACTCGTTTGTGGCTAAAATAGACTAAACAAAAGAAATATCTGTGCACCTAATTGAATTGCAAGAAGGGAACTTCACTTGAACGGCTAATTTCTGCGAAAATGTCAATCGCTGACTATAATGAGCCTATTTTTCTCGATCCCCCTTCTTTCCCGCAGCTGTCACGAGACACCATGTCCTCGAAGTCGGACTTCTATCGCGGCTCTAAAGTGCAGCAAAGTCGACATTCGACAATGGAATTAACGCGCACACCGAAAAGCGAATGCAACCATGAATGCAGACCAGACGCATCTCGCATCGCCTCCTCCCGTTTTTTTCCGCCTCGACCTTGGAGGAAGTTACGAGGCAGAGGAGAGGATCCCCATAAAATGCACATGCGTCACTGGAGATCGGTCAGTCTGTTTTCTTTCACCCGTCGGTCAGCGTCTGTCCCTCGTCGGACTCTGTCAATTTTTCCTTTCACCTCGTGAAAAAAAACCACTCAGGAACATGAAACTCCAGAATGTAAGCGATTCCAAACTTCCTCCTTCAGACCCACCTTCAAATCGATGGTGATTTTTCTGACAGTTTAAAGTTTCACGTTGACAGCCACCAAAAGGACGTTTTATTTTCCCTTCGTTCGATTAAGCAGATTAAAATGAATCCAATTAGCGAGCTGTTGGATTCAGGATTGAAAGCAGGCAATTTCAAAACTTTCATTTCCTGCATGAATGAGAAATGCCTCAAAACGCTCCCAAAGGAGGACGATTTCACGCATTTTCAAAGTTAAACATCAACCTGCAAGACATTCCCCATTTTTTGTTATCACCATTATTATCACTTGTTTATGTAGTGGGTTATATAGCAATAAAATTGTTTGAAAAAAAAGACGTTCCCCCATCTCATTCAAGTTGGGAGATTCAACTCGAAACCCACGTCAGATGCAAGGATGGTTTGAACCTGTTTCATTTGAAAAATTGGTTGAAATTTATGAGTAATTCGTAAACTTCAAAATTCATGATTCCTCTTGAATTGTGGCAAATAAAACTACATTCGTAATCGATTGGTGCGATGAGAGCAATTCAGATAGCATTACACAGACCAAATTCGTCCTTTCAACTGGGGAATGTGAGTGGGGACTGCAGACATTTACGGAAAAATTGAATTAATCGTTTTCAAATGTATGAATTACAGGGTGAGGCAAAAAAAAAAACAAGTTGGTTCTTCAACTGGCAATATGCAAGGCTAGAAATGTAGTATCTGTTACTAAGAAAGAAAGTGGAGGTAACTCATGGCTACAGTCTGTGAAAGAAGGTAGTATTGCTTTGATTACTTTCAGAATAAGCAGGTAAAATTGACAGGCACTGATCCTGTCCCTCTCGGGAAATCGTTCAGAGATTGGATTCCAATTTTTCATGGTCTGAGCTAGTGATTCTCACTGCTTCTGGATAACGGAACCATTTCCCCCTAAGAAACTATTGGCCATTGTTCATTAAGAATTCTCACTCTATTCGGTGTAACGGCTCTCCATCCTTGACTATTTCTATATTCAGGCTCTGTACTGGATTCTGGTGGCGATGATGGGCTTGTTGGCCTGCAGCGAAGGGCAGAGCGCGAACTCCCTTTTCGGCTACCACCGTCACGGTCCCCCCGGACTCACCAGCCTCCGCAACTTCGCCAAGCTCCGTCACGTTGCCCATCACAATCGCCGCCACAAGGGGATCATACCTTGAGGATGCGCTCATCCGCTTGTGGATCCAGCGGATTGCCTGTCGTGCACACCGCTTGCAATGTCCTGTGGTATAGAATTGTGTCGATGTATGCACCTCGTGCTGCAATATACGTGATTTTATCGTGCTTTTTTATGAGGAAATCCTGATTTTTTATGTCATTTTTTTCAATTTTATTCACGTCATTACTTTAATAATTTACATTTTATTTACCAGTTTGTATGCAAATTTTTATTTCCTATTCATTTGTGTTGTCACAAGTGAAAAGGAAAATTTTTTTTTCCTTTATTATATCATAGTAAAAGTCATGTCATTCAGAGACAGATTGAGATGGACTCAATTTCTTTGCATCATTAAAAAAGAAGGGACCATGTCGAAGAGACCATAAACTTGGGTAACCACTGCCACTGTCAATGTCACTGTTTTCACTGTGGAATCCGACGAAGCACCAACTTCGGAGGAGGTGACTTCGGCGCACATTTCGAATATTTCTATCACCGAGGAGACGGTCATGGGTGTGATAGGGAAGTTACGCGGTGGGCAAGGCGACCGGCCCCGATGGGATTCCGGCGAGAGTCATTAAGGAAACCGCGAGAGAAATATCGGTTCCGCTAAGAATTATATTGGAAAGCAGCTTTTCGCGCGGGGAAGTACCTAATGACTGGAGACGAGCAAACGTCGTACCGATCTTTAAGAAGGGCGAAAAGAGTCATCCAGGAAATTACAGGCCGGTAAGTCTCACGAGTATCCTAGGGATTTGTAAAATGCTGAATCTTTGGAATAAAAACCATTCTCTCATAGAAGACATCAACTCATCATTGCTTTCAAAGCACTTTCCACGCAGATATTTCTTGAACTGATGTCCACACCATTTTCATCCCAGAAGAGAGTCATGATGATATTGCCAGCCGATCGTGACTGGAGAGGATGCTTTGGAGTGGGACTGTCTGGGTGCTTCCATTGTTTAGCTTCAGCCTGGCTTTCAGATGTGGTGGATCCAACTTTCATCGGCGGTGACAATGCGGGGAAAGAACCCTGGTGGATCTTCAACGCATGGGTGTAGCAACTCCCTTTCGCAAGTGGCTCGAGCATGGCGCACGTCTGGAGTCAAAATTCATGGGATCCATTTGGCTGACTTTATTCATATTCAGATGTTCATGGAGAATTCGATGTGGAAATGTGGAAGGGGTGCCCACGAGCTCTGCTATCTTTGCCACAGACACTCGTCGATCCTCCGTAACCATCTTCTCCAGAGGAGCCGCTGTTGCAGTTGACTGCAATTGGTGGTGCACCAGCCCTGGAATCATCTTCAAGCGACTCTCGCCCATGCGCGTACTCACGAGCCCAGTTGGCAACCGTTGCTTTTGAAGAAGCAGCACCTAGGTACACCGCATACAATCGCACATAGATCTGTGTGCGCGTTTCGCCTTATGTGAGAAATTTGATAATGGCTCGATACTCCAGCTTGTCAAGGTTTGAGTTAGCAAGCGAAATCTTCTAAAACATAAGATGAATCAATTTAGACATTGCGCACTGATATGAAACTTGGTGTATGTAGTTATGAGACCTGTCTCTAGTTATTTATCAAAACTTAATATAAAATACCACACCTAACCATAGGGGGTCTAATAATATTTGAGATGAAAAAAAGTATCTCGATCTCCTCCTTGTCCCGCCTCGCTGACCTCGCGGAAGGCAGCTCGCACCGCCTCCTTCCTTCTTTTCGGCCTCAACCTTGGAGAACGTTAGGAGGCGGAAGCGAGGGTCTCCATAAAATGCAACTCAGTGACAGGATATCAGTCAGTCTCTCTTTGTTCCCCCGTCGGTCAGCTTCTGTTTTCGTCGGAGTTCAATTCTTCCTTACACCTCGTGAGAAACCCTTCAGCAACATGAAACTCCAGAATGTAAGCGATTTCAAACTTCCTCCTTCATACCCACGTTCAAGTCTATGGTGATTTTTTCTGGCAGTTTAGGTTTTCACTTTGATATGTTCAAAAAAATCCCAAGCAGCATGTTTACGTTAACAAGATATCAATTCTTTGCAAACAATGTAAATTTCTTGCGATTGCCATGAAAATGACATCTACCGTTTACGTATCACAGAGGTGACATTTCTGCAAACATGTTGGCATTATCTTGACAATGGTTTGCGTAAAAATGATATAAAATGGACAAAAAATTTACATTCAGTTTACGTAAAATTAACAGAAACATGCTGTTTGGGATCTTTCTCCTTCGTTCGAATTAAGCAGAATAAAATGAATCCAATTTGCGAACTGTTGGATTCAGGACTGAAAGCCGTCTATTTCAAAACTTGCATTTCCTGCACGTAGTTTCTACGCGTTCGATACCGCATTAATTCAAACAGATCGCAAACGCCATGTAACGACGGGAAATGCCAGCCATGGCAGCAGCGTCGACACCTTCGATGGAATGAATGAGAAATGCCTCAAAACGCTCGCAAAGGAAGACGATTTCGCGCATTTTCATCAGCATGCAAGGCATTCCCCTGTCTCATCCAAATTGAGAAATTCAACTCGAAACCTTCGCCATTTGGAAAATCATCTTGAACTGCTGCCTGTTTTATTAGACAAGTGAATCTAAATTTATTTGTGAAGTGATTCTTCTCGAAACGTAGCGAAAAAAAATTCGTAATCGAGTGATGCGATAAGAGCATTTCAGACAACATCACACATACCCAATTCGTCCTTTCAACTGGGGGCAGACATTTCTGGAAAACTTGAATCACTCGTTCTGAAATTTTTGAATTACAAGGTGAGGCAAAAAACCAAACAAGCTCGGTTCTTCAACTGGCTATATGCAGGGCCAGAAATGTAGCAGCTCTTACTGAGAAAGAGAGTGGAGATAACTCATTGCCACAATAGGTCAAGAACCTGTCAATATTGCTTTTCACTACTTTCAGAAAAAGCAGGCAAATTTGTCAGGCACTGGTCCTGTCCCTCTTGGGAAATCATTGCGCGATAGGATTCCACTTATGCATGGTCTAAGCTAGTTGATCTCGCGGATTCTGGAAGATAATGTTCCGATAAAAATTTTTTTAAATGAAGCTTCATATGTAATTCATATATTCACATTAAGCGCGATTGAGTTACTGAAGCATGATGTGCTCTTTTGATGAAACAATGGCTCCACTTCTCTCCCCAATGAAGATGGAACACCTGTGATGAATGTCCCAGTGACATATACTCGAAGTGGAGGGATCCATTTTAGCCTTTTAAACGGTTCTCAAAGAAAAGGATGGTTCCAGAGGAACTCATGGCTTGAAAAAGCTTTTTTGAGAAACCAATTCAGATTGTATCGCTATGTACTGGAACCAATTCCCCCGGAAACGATACAAAATTTTTCATTGGGAATTCTTATTTCATACGGTGTAAGGGCTTTCTATCCACGTCTCTTTCAATACTCAGGCTCTGTTCTGGATTCTGGTGGTGATCATGGGCTTCTTGACCTGCAGCGAAGTGCAGAGCGCGAACTCCCTTTTCGGCTACCACCGTCACGGTCCCCCCGGACTCACCAGCCTCCGCAACTTCGCCAAGCTCCGTCACGTTGCCCATCACAATCGCCGCCACAAGGGGATCATACCTTGAGGATGCGCTCATCCGCTTGTGGATCCGGCAGATTGCCCGTCGTGCACACTGCGTGCAATGTCCTGTGGTATAGAATTGTGTCGGTGCATACGCCTTGTGCTGCAATAAATGTGATTTCGTCGTGTTTTTGTTTGAGGAAATCCCGATTTTTCCATGTTAACTTTTAAATTTTCTTCGCGTCATGACTTTTACATTTTACGTTATGGAAGCGACCTCGGCGTTCTAAGCTCTAAGAAAATTTCTACTGCATTTTACGCATTCATTATGGCCTCAAGTTACTTTTGATTATGTGATATTAATTTTCTGACTTTCAATAATTCCAAGGAACTAAGAAAATTTTCAAGATACGTTCCTCTTGAAAGCTGTGCCCTTAGGGGATGAGCCTGAAAGCAAAAAAATACCATGAAATTAGAATGAGGTCAACCATTGGAGTACTGAATTTTTCCTTCCTATTTTTGTCTGTGCAAAAAATTCAGAGGAATTCTTCCCCGCACAAATATATGCCCTGCAGGATATATACTTAAAAATTGTATTTTTCCTGAAATCAAAACCCCAAGAACAACTTCATAGACAAATGTACGTATTTTCTTTTTCCCGTCTCTCTTCAGCGAAAATGTATTAGGGGAAAAGGTCCCAATCTAATATTTCGCCCTGAGGGCATGAGCATCGACTTCGAGTTTTTTCGAGCTAAACACCACAACAGCTAATTCTGTGCCAAGTTTTCACCTCGTACTTGAGCCCGTTCCATAGGCACAAAGCAAATTCTAGCAAAAACATCTCTCCCAAAAAAACATGACCCCAGGGATTATATCTGAAAAGTGAAATTTTTACTGAAATCAGCATATCAGTAGACACGTTTATGCCCATTTTCAGCTCTCCATGTTCCTGCATTTCACAGAAGCGAAAGTATTTATTTTTAAAACATCCTCCTCCAAAAACCACGTGCCCCAGGGCATGTACCTCCGAAGTTGAATTCATTCTGAACTCAAGATCCTAATAAGTACTTGTTTTTCAGGTTTCTACCTTATCTAGAACATGGTTAGATTTAGCGTAAGTCACTCTCTCGCGATTACATATATATACAGTATATTAGATTACATAATGATTACCAGTTTTTAACCAAATTTTCATTTCCTTTTATTTGTGTTGTCACAAATGACAATAAAAATGAAATGTTATCCTTCTGTTAGAGAAAAAGTCATTTCCGTAGACAGACAGACCGGAGTGGAGATGATGTGTTCCATCATTAAGCGCTGGTGAACTCAATACTCGACGAATGCAATTACTTTGTTTTGAGTAATTTGCACTGCGCGGTACCCCAAAGGAACCAAATCCCAACCTGAACCATGAAATATGTTCATTCGTAGCAGATGGAAAAACATTTTCAGGCGTCAACCCTGTGTCGACTCACCGAACATATTCAACAGCAATGTTCCCTTTAATTTTCATGAAAAAGAAGATAGGCATATGGAACGACGATACGGACGAGGTGAAGTAGGCATTTGAGAGAAGGACCTTCGAGGAAGAGGTTACATATCAGGGACTCGTAAAGCGATGAACGAGGAGCGTTCAAAACTCTAGAGACAACTATAAATGATCATATTCAAATGTCTGATTTGAATATGAATGAATCCCAGAGCTGCATT